ATTAGAGGCTTCCATATGAGCCAGTCATGGTTCTCTATGCCCTCCTTCAGAGAGGACAGAAAACGACTTGGCATACACTTACAAACATAAGGGAAAGATTTACCTGCCTGGATCACTCATATCCATGTTCTGTCACACACATGCACACAGCTACACATACCCTCAGGATATATTGAATTATACAACTCCATTAAGACACAAAATCCAGCAGGGTCTAAACTGCTAATGAACAGGACAGACTCATCTCAGAGAGTTGAAGGTTTGGAAACCACCTCAGAAAGACTTGTTTTTGTTAAGGGTATAGGTTACTTTTTAACAAGTAAGTGAGGAGACACACATGCATATCCTTTTCTGTGGACATTGAAAGCGTTCTTGTAATCTGTTTTTGCCACTTGCTAATATCCCATCACAGTCTGAGGAATCTTCAAAAGGTTGGATACACACTTTCCAAGGAGTAGAACTGCCCTAACTGATCATTCCTGGGAATGAGGAATGCAAACGTGGGAAAGCATGAAATCATCAGCTACCGAGAACCCAGAGGTTAGTTGTCCATAGTCCCGAGATGCCTCAGTGAGAAAACTCCAATTGTAAAGGAGAATATGCTGAAAAGTTCAACACTTTTCACACTTCCAACACAAGAGTGAAAGAAGATTGAGATTAGAAGGAACCAAACAAAAGTATGGTTCCTTTTTCAGGGTAGACTTGAACTTTTTGAAATAGTGTTATAAATGTAAGCACTTTAAGTATAACTTCCGAAAATATTTATTAATGAACAGAAGTCAGAAGCTTGACTCAAATAAAAATTTTTCCAGTAATCTCCTAAGCCTGCAGAGGCTAATCTTCAGAAATTTTTTCTTAGATACTCCCAACTTAGAATCTGAGTTAAAAACAGCATTTCATGTGTGAGCGTCACAGAAGATGAAAGCATTTGCTCTGGTGCGGGGGAGGTACTCTGTCCCTCATCCTTCCACTCCACTCTGGCCTTCTATACTGAGGAACAAGCATAACCTGAGTTTCAAACACAGCTCCTGCAGGATTCCAGTCCAGCTGATCCCATGGGGTGACCCTGCAGAGACAAGATACCACTTGTGAGAGTGTCATGAAGTCAGCTGAGTGCTGAGGAGGGCAGAAGTCAGTGGAAATTAACTAATCTTCTAAATCAAGTTAACATGTTCTGCTTTGCAAAATACACTGGTGTGTGAAGTCTGACCAGAGATAAAAGATATCTTTGCCTTTGTGTCAAGACTTCTAGAAATGATAAAGTCAGTTCACTTCTGTGAGGATAGCCAAAAATAATTATAAAAAAATTTTTGCTTAGTAGTTCTGCTGATAAAGCTGTTAGGTAAAGCTCTGATGACCAGTGGCACATTCTCTTCCATGCCAAGTTGTGTTTAGTGGATGCTGTGGCACACTACCCAGCTTGTGCCCCTTCAAGACCCACACGTTCATTCCCCCAGCTGCTGGGAGTGTCCTGGGCTGACAGGTCTCAGTTGAGTCCCTCTTCAGGAATTGCCCTTCCTAAAGAGAGGCCTCCTCCAAAGTCACACCCAATCACCAGGGACAGATTGCTTCCAATGACTTGTCTATTTCAGGGTATAAAGGCTGGCCCCTTACCTCAATTTAAGACGATTACAAAGGGCTCTCCTGGCTCCAGGGCTCTCATCTGCGAGGTGGTTTGAACGGGGTCCTTTTTGTTTTTTTGAGGAAGATTAGCCCTGAGCTAAGTAACATCTACCACCAATCCTCTTTTTGCTGAGGAAGATTGGCCCTGAGCTAGGATCTGTGCCCATCTTCTTCTATTTTATGTGTGGGACGCCTGCCACAGCATGACTTGAGAAGCGGTGTGTATATCCACACCTGGGATCTGAACCAGCAAATCCCGGGCTGCCGGAGCGGATTGCATGCACTTAACTGCTAAAGAACCGGGGTGGCCCGTGGGGTGGTTTGAAGTTTCTGCTGCAACTGCATCACATTTCAACTTCTCCCTCTGCCAGATTTTGCTTCCTTCACTCCCACACATGTGTTGATGCCGAGAGCACTTCCCTAAGAAACATGTTACATTCAAATCTCTATTTCAGAGTCTGTTTCTGGGTATCCCAATCTGCAACATTTCAGGATCCCATTTCTAGAACAGCAGTTGGCAAGTGGAGAACCCAAACTTTCAGCCTTGACATATTCTAGCGAAGGCAGAAAGTCAGTGGATCCTACATTTTAATAAAAAAAAAATTTCATCCTATTAATTGAACAATATTTACTGTGCCTCAATTTAGTCGGTGGCAGTGCAGTACTGTCTTCTTGGAAACTGGTTTAAAAAGTAAAACTTTGAATTTTTCTCAGCATCCACAAGAAGTCATTCTTTTGTCTTCAAAAATTTTTCTACAAGCAATTTAAATTTCATTGTAGCCTGGTGCCCTTACCTTGCAGTAAAATTGCTCACCACTCTCAGTGATATTTTAAAAATTGCAAATAACAAGAAAGAACTAAAAGTGAGCATCTGTCCTTCTAATTTTCAAGAAGGGAAAAAGTGTAGGTGCTGTAAGTAATGTGTACATGTGAATTTGACAGTGATCTTGCGCACATTTATAGAGTAAAAGGACTGTGATGGGAAATGTTGTGGAGATTTGTGAAGCACCAGATGGAGACTTGAGCTTGGTAAGTAACTGTCCAGAACTGGACAGGCAACTTAAGGCAGGAGGACAGTATTACTCTCTGAGGTTATCTAGTGACCCAGGCTGGTAGGTAGCTCTGTCATTCTCAACATAAACTCCCATCTCTGGGCTCAAGGAGATGTTCCCATTTCCCAACAATGGTTCCATTTCATATTTAATGAGAAGAGAGGAAGAGCAGAGCCTTTCTTCAAGTACTCAATTCCCCAAAATACTGACAAGGTAGATCTTTTGTCTGAGTTTTCACTCTTGAGGTGGCCAAGGAAATTTGTCTTCCGTTGGCCACTGGTAGGAAGCTATTGACTTGATATTCAAAAAACTAGTCCTTAACTACTGGGAGTTCATGATGATTTGTGGCAGCCAAGTTGGATTAGCAATTATGGGAGAGAAAATATGCTTTATGGACTGGCCCCAAGGGTGAACTAGCGGGGAATTACTTCTATTCTACTTGTTTGTACAACAAATATACTCCCTCTCTGGCATAGGGAGATTTCATGTATATTACAATAAAAAGACTCTTTTATAAATGCCATACTTTGAGGGTCCATGAAATACTCAAGCCCTAATTCTGTGTTTCACATTCCCAATGGAACAGGAGACGTAAAAATATCAAGAAAAAATATTTAGAAATAAATGGTAGACGTAAGTCTGGGGAAAAACCTGAAATTCAGATACATGGAAAAGCACAGTAAAGGGAGAGAACAGTGTTTGAAGGATGAAGGGAAAACACACTGGAACTTCTTAGAGAATTCATTCTGAGTCTTTGTGCCTGGATAGGCACCACATAGAAACTGGGTTCTCAAGTAGTGAATGACAAAATGTCTGGTTCAAAGGGAGCTTAGAGACCACCTACTCCAAACCCCTCTTGTTACAAAGAAGAAACGGAATCTCAGAGAGTAGCAAGGAACTTGCCCCAATCACACAGCTAGTTAATAACAGCTTTAACTTCCAGGTTTGTGTTCTATCTATAGCCCTTGCAAGCTTGGAGCGAGGATAAAATGGGAGGTGAAAGTGAATTGTAACACTCAAGAAACCAGAAAATCCCTCAGAAGATATTTCTCGAGCTGATGAAGCCTGGACTTTCTATCTATGTTTAATATCTTTCAATTCTTAACTCTGCGTCATTTGGCCTCAGGCCAAATAAAGGAGTAAGTTTCTTCTCTCTAGCCTGATGTGTAGCTGTGTACAGAATACTGCGAAGCAAGATGTTAATGAGTGTTCTGCAAGGCTGTGGTACCACGGCTATATCCCATAGTAGACCTCCTATCTTTTCTTAAGGGCAGAGGAAGTGTCCAGGAACACCACCAAGGAACCTCCTATAGGGACATTTTCTGGTCTGCTGTTACAGGAAAAATCTCTTCTCTGCTTACCAGGCCTGTTTACATAAAGCCAAGTGACAAGGCTGTTCACTGGGAATCTGGTCATTTCTTACCTCTCTGATATGATTTAATGAAAAAAAAAGTAGAGAGTGTTAAGGAGGTTCATACTATATGACTATATAAAAAAATAAAATCTCCAATAATTTCTCTCTGCTTTATGGCCCAAAAACATCCTTTCTAGAAAATGGGACTTAGTCTCATGGATATATACAAATTTTCCCCCTAGATTCACTTCCTCCTGATGTTATTAATTGTTGTGAAACATAAATAAACTATAGGTGCTCTGATCTCTCATTTGCCATTGTGAATTCATGATCAGCACTGACAATATGCCTCTTCTCTTCCTTAATGCTTTCCCCAAACCCCCAGTATAACTGTCACTATGAGTGGGGATGGTGTGGGGATGGGAGAACAAAGATTGGGTCTTTGCCTGAGATCGCATTCAGTCTTGGACTGTTTTCAGAGCTGAGAGTTCTGATTATTATTATTCATTGGAATTTCTCTAAGATGCTTCATATGGGTGTTGTAAGAGGATATTTGAGATTTAGGTTTGGGAGAGATTAAAGAGGTGAAACAATCACAGGGGAATCTTACACTGAGCCCTATTCCCTGAGTCCTATGGCTCAAGACTACCCCAAATTCTGCCAAGAACTAGAAACTCATAGATAATAAGTTAAAGAGAGAGCATAAAAATGATCAATCTCATTAGCATCCTACCATGTCTTCTCGTTCCTAGCTCAGACTTTTAATGGTCAAGAGAGAACATTTTTAATCTATAACTTCATGATTCTTGTCTCTAGAAGCAAAGAAGAAACGAGTTAGCCTTAAATACTTAGAAGCGTCATATTACGTGGTTTCATACTTCTTTTTTCAAATTGTACTTCTCTTTTACACATGCTAATAAATGAATCTATTCATTCTTATATTTATTTAAGTGATGTTTATTGAGCACTTACTATTACATGCCACTTAACCAGTTCTAGTTAGTTTAATGATGCAATTCTGCAAAGCCGTGGGCATAGACCTTTCTATGTACATTATGATCTGTGTTTGACAACTGAAAAGCAATTGCTGATGCCAGGAAGAAATTGCTGTTGCAAAGGTTTCTTGAGCAGTGACATCAGTTCTTTCTCGGGTCTCACTTAAGGATGGGGGTCCATAAGTTTTCTGCCTCTCCTGGTCCTCTTAATCTTCAAGAGAAATGTTAACTGCTGCTGGGTCGAGACAAACAATCCTGTGTCCACAGCAAACAGAATCACCACCAACAATGGAATAATAAATTGTAGCCAGTAGCGTTTGCTTTGCTCAGCTGTAGTGGAAGATAGATGCAACAAGAAACATAACTTATATTAGGAATCAAAGAATGAGGTTCAGGGTTTCATCCTCCCTAAGAGAAGGGCCCACCCTGGTCCTTCATCTTCTAACATGATATGGCATCCAGGAGCGGAGAGAAAACACTCACAAATTTGAGTTCCTAAGTCTGTGCTCTCTGAGCCCTAGGGAGTCCTGAGTATTTCCCCAACAGCCCCTGTATAACAGTTCCTCTAGCCAACGTGTCCAAGGGGAAGGTCATAGGAAAGAAGATCCCTTTCTTGGAGCTGACAAGACCAATGTCCACACATGGTATGGGGGGTGGAAAAGAGACAGAGTGAGGGCAGGGGATCAGCAGTGCCTTATTTCTCAATCATTCAATCACCATTTAGTCCATGCATGTTGGGTGAAATGAGGATACTGGACTAGATCCTCTTTAAGTTGCCTTCCAATTCCACTATTTTGTGATTCTGTTACTCTATTTATAAGGTATTGATTTTTGCTATTATTCTAGAATTGTAGAGCCCCAGAATATTATAGCCAGAAAACACTTAGAGATCACCTAGACTAGTGGCTCTCAACACGGGCTGCACATTACCATCAGTTAAAAGAGCTTTTGAAAATACTATGCCCCGGCCTCACTCCAAAACAATTAAATTGGAACTTTAAGGGATGAGATACAGCAATATTTTTTTAAAATTCCCCAAGTGATTCTAATGGAGTCTAGACCAAACCTTTTATTTTACAGATAAGGATCCAGTGACAATTAAATAGCACTTAGGTCTCAAATTAGTTAGCAGAGAACTGCCAGTAGAGCTTAATTCTGCTTTTTGGTCTCATGCTTTTCTAGACATTACTATGAACAAAAGCTCTAGTTTCCTCCTTCCAAGGCAAATATTTCAAAGACTCCCTCTCTTATATGAGTTTGGAAAGAGTAGTCATTTTCATTGGCTATGGAGGCAGCCCACCTTCCTATCGTTTTCTCACAAGCCTTCTCTCTCACCTCCCAATACACAAGCACACAGCCTATTGACTTGTTGTTTTCCTTTCCTAGCCCTCTTAGGTTGGAATAGACACTTTCAGCTCTTTATAGCCTTTATTCCTTCAACTTTGAAACTCTCTTTCAATTGGATAAATAAATATAAGTGTTCTCCCCGTGAGCAAAAGATGACTTTGAGGTCAAAACAGTAATTGCAATCTTTTATGCTTGGGTAGTGCTTAATGGTTTACTAATCCATTTCACAAATATGACCACATTTAATCTTCATAAAAATTCCATAATGTGAGCAGATATTACTATTGCCGTTAAACAAATAAGGAATCTAAGACAGAAATTGAGGGATATACTATACTCCAGGTCTCCTCATTGCAAGTCTAGGAGAATTTCCAGAGTATGGCAGCTGCCCTCATTCTACAAGCTGCAACCATGTCAGGCTTAGGTGTTCTCTCTCCCTTCCCCTGCTATGGACTCCCTCCCTTCCTTTACCAACTCACCTTTTTTTACAGTAATGTTGAGGTAATCAGAGGTATAGCGTTCACTTGTTCGCTTAAAGTTAAAAGCACCCTCGCAGTAATAGGTGCCACTGTTTTCTGTTGTGGCACTTTCAATGGAGATGTTTTTGTTCTCATACCAGTACTCGAGGGGTTTGCCATCCTTGTAGTAGATCACCTTGAAGACGTCCCAATCCTTCCAGCCACGGCACCTGAGAACGAGGGCCTTACCCTCTATGACCTCCTCAGCAGAGGCCTGAAGGAGCAGCCAGTCTGAAGAGCATTCATTACATTATTTATTTAACAATGAACGAATAGATAGATACATAAAATAAACTAAAAAATGTCATGGATAGAGTGTGTATCAGAAACCATGGTTTATCATTAACTCATTTCTTGGCTCATAAGGTCAACAAAAAGTCAACACAAAATAATGCTTAGAGCTTGTCTTCTACATTGACAAATCCTCTCTGCTTATAAAAAGTAAGTCGGGGGACCATAAAATCTGACATTTCTGCTGATCTCATCCATGGAAGATCTGAAACCCGGTATTCCCTTCAGACTCATTGTTGCTAGTTCTAGTCAGTAAGGGGGAAATAAACCTACTCTACTTGGAGACCCTCAGCCTAGGAGAGTGTCTATTTTGTTCTCTCTTACCTTGTAGGAGCTTCCCAGTTCTGCTATTAACCATAGCTGGCCCCTAAACTTCCTCAAAACATGTATCATGTTTAAATTAATTATTTGTGTAATTATTTATTTAATATCCTCTTCCCCATGTGACTCTATACTTCAAAAGGTCAGAGGCTATGTCTATTCCTTATATTATATCCTCGGTGCCTAACACAACACCTAGAAGTTGGTAGGTACTCAACAAATATTTGTCAATAATGACCCAGTAAAAGATAAGAGTCAAGTTCTATGGGTAATATCACTTTAAGAATTGAAAAGCATTTGCCAAAGGATAATTTTGAATGTAAATATGGCTAGGTTGTGCAAGCATATTTTATTTAGGAGCAATCCTTGAGGACTTTTCTAGAATCTACTCCAAAGAAATGAAGAAGCTATTCTACACTCCTTTAGGTTGTATTTGGAATTTGCATATTGATGTTGAAACATATTTTTTCACTCAAGAGAAAAATATAAAGTATGTTTATACTTTAAAATATATTTATATTTAAAAATATAAAGTAAAATATAACAATGACCAAGCCATTCAAATGAAATCATTAGTTTGTTGATTCAATATTTACTAACTAACCCACATATGCCTAAGCATGCTGCGCTAGTTGTTGGCAGTAGGGGAGTGATAAAGATGAAGCAAACATAAGATTTGTTCTTAAGTAAGAGTAGAGGACATGAGGAATGTACACAGATATCGTTCAAAATGAAGAGTACAACCTAATATTCAGATCATGGCACAAAGAAATTGCAGAGCAAATCTTTAAATTAAGCTTCTTGATCCTATTTCAGATACACAGCTCTTTACAAAGTTCACATATCCAACATGCCATTTGACCATACGATATACACCTATGTCGAAAAGACAGTCAGAGGTGAAATAAAGTAGAGGAATAACATTGGGAGATGGCCAGAATATTGAAAGAAGCCAGAAGGAGTAGATGTGGAAGAATGAGATGAACAGATCTTGAGTGAGAGATCCTGTGTCCCACCTTGGTACCCTAAGCCTTGAAATAACTTTCTTTCTCCTCATCTTCATGTGGCCCATTCATCTCATTGAAGAATCTATATTTGCATAACCCTGGAACTTACCACTGAAAACTTCTAGGTGCACAGCTTCACTCAGGTTCAAGTCATTGTTCCGACATCTGTATTCCCCACTGCTCCGGTGTGAGGCATTAGTGATGTTCAAACTTGAAGTTGTCACTTCTAAAGTGGTGTTGTTGTAGGTCCACTCAGTGGAGTTGCCTTTAAGGGGCTTGTTCTTATTACATGTAAGAGTCACATTCTCTCCTCGAAATATTCTATTCCATGGGGGATTCAAGGACACTGTAGATTTCCGGATGGCTTCAGAAGATCAAATTATGGAAAAAGATATAGAGGGAAAAAAATCATTGAAAACTGGCTAGACTCCAAAATACAGACATACAAATAGTGAGACAATCAATGGTCAATCTACCCTTATGCTGCTGGTGATAAGACCCTGTCCTGATTCCTAGGATTAAAGGAAGAAGGAAACAATGTTGTGGCCCCAGGGAGCTCCCAACCTTGGGAGGAAGACAGGATACTAATGCAAGATATTAAAAAACAAACAAATTTACTGTGTGATGCAGGATAACTCACTCTAATTCTCTTGATTTTGGTTTCAGGATCTGTCAATGAGGACTGCAATCTCTTTTCAGGCAGAACCAATATCTGTCCTGTTCAACCATAGCTCAGTACAGTAGCTGGTACATAGTAAGTGTTCATTAAATATTTATTGAGTGAATAATGAATGAATAAAGGTGTTGGACTAGATGAAATATAAGATCTCTGCCAGCTCTAAATTTTTATAACTATTTAATTGTGAGTGTATATGGAGTGAACAATTTGTGTCAATTCTGGAAGGTAGTGAGAAACACCAAGAGAATCAGTTTTAAAAGGCTTCTAAGAACAAACAGATGAGACCAATATTCAAACAGCAGCCAAGCAAGTGGCTAGGTGGTGATGAAGAAAAGGTGATACAGTCAAAAGAGAACCAGACTTGGATCCAAGGGACTTATGTTAGAATCTAGTCCTTTGTTGTCTACGCAACCTCCAGAAAATCACTTAATCTGAGTTTCAGCATCCTCAGTTATAAAATGGCAATAATAATAATAATGAAGGTGATGTAAGAATTGAATGAGATTATGTGATAGTGTTTGGAAGAGAGGCTGAGACTCAGATGTTCAACAGACATGGTTGTTGGCATAAAAAGAGGAGGAAGTGACTTAAAAAATGAAATGATATGTGAGAAGATTTTGAATGAGGGAAAAGAAGGAAGACAAAGCAAGGTAGAAATGAGAAGCAAGTTGGACAGGGAGGAGTAGATTCACAATCATTAGCAAACAGAGGTGACGGGATGAAGGGAAACAGTGAGGGAGAGCAACGCCCAGACACACTGAACTGCAGAGGGAACAAGGACAAAGGACTCACCTGCTGGCACGCCATCCAGAGCTGTAAAAGTCCAGAGAGGATAAGTTATTGTCTATCCCCAGCCTTCTGGGACTCCTGAAGACTGAGATCTGGGTATATGGTGGTGAGGTCTACATCCATGGAGTTTTACGGGCCAAGCCTCTTCTCAGGAATCTGACCCAGGGAAAGAAGGCGCTTCTGTCTTTCCTCTGTCCTCCCTCCCTTGCTCTCTGGGCAATAACAGAGCGATTTCAAGGACACAGCCTTTCAGTCTGGCTTCTGCCTTTGGCATTGCTCAGCTCAGTTTCCTCTGCTCTCCAGCTTGTCTCCACTACAGAATCCCTGGGAAATGCCCCATAATTTGCATATGTCCTAGAAAAAGTCACCACTAAAACCGTCAAAGTCCCCAGCTGTTCCCCAGATCCATTTTGGCCCCTCCAGGAATAGTAACTGAACCTCTACTTACAGAAGAGCAGAAAAGTTATCCACAGCAGGGCAGGGCTTCCCATGGGAGCAGGCATCTCCTCTGTGGCCTCTAGGTGCCAACTGGGCTGGAGAGGTCTAGAGACTTAAAACAGACCTGAAACCAAAAAGGGGAAGGAAATGTTTTCTGTATCATATCTGATTGACTCATTAGCTGTGCCTAGGTTTGCCATCTTCTCTGGAGATAATATTCAGAGTGGTGCCTAATTGGGCAATTTTATATAGACCCCCCCTTACTGCATTCCCCACCCCACTCCACATACAGATCTGAAATCTGGTGGAAGAGAGACAAAGGGCTATGCACACAGTCACAGGACTTTCTTAAAGTGTCAATCAATGCAATTTAGAAAAGTAGGGTGCAGGGGAGAGCAGAATAAAACAATAATAGTTAACTATTCAGTACCTAAAATATATAACAGACACTATGCTAAATGAAATTAACAAATAAAATAAATCTGATATTTCATTCATTTCTTACAATGATCCTATGAAATAAAGTACCATAGTTATCTACATTTTATAGACAGGAAAACTGGAGCTTAGAGAGGTTAAGTAACTTGTCTTAGGGTACTACCTACTAAATGGCTAATTTGGGATTCAAACGTATAAAAATCTTGCCCCAGAGTAAAAGTCTTAATCATGATGATATACTGTTTATGCATGTACACACATATGACTAGCAATTGCTGAAATTCTGTTGTGGTTCTCCGGAGCTACCAACCCTCCTGTTATCTAATTTCCTGCCAGTCCATTAGTGTGCAAATCAACAAATTGTCATCTGATTTCCTGATGATCCAGTATCTGACTAACCAAATTAGAGACATTTTCAGAGACTCCTTCTCTCCTACTGGCCCTGTTGGGGCTCACAATACAGGAAGGCAGATGTTAAACCATAACTTACAGGGAAATAGGTCATATAATTTATTGTCTTTTCTTTCCCAGCTTTTGTCCATTTTTCTCTTTCTAATCTTCCAGCATGATCAACCTTTCTCCTTTAAATCCACATTAGTTCTCTTTCCTCCAGGACTTTTTTTGACTAATTCATTTGTTTTTTAGCTCTAAGTCAGAGTTGGTCACCTTCTTCCAGGATTTGGTATTGGTAATGATAGTGGAGATGATAAGTCCATAAATATCTATGCTCTGCCATTTACAAAGATTCTCATATGCAGTATTATATTTGATCCTTTCCCAAACTCTGAAATAGGCAGGGGCAATATGGAGTAAGCGAGGCCGCATTCTATCACACCAGGATTTCCTCACAGACTGTTGAACTGTCTATTGAATTAAACATAAAGTTGGTCCACGTAAAGATCTGACCAAAGCTTCTAGCTTCTATCGAATATGGAGCTAAAAAGATTTATAAACAGAAAGTTTCAGATAAAAAAGATTAGTGACTGGTCCCAGGTCATGCAGTGTTTTAGTGACAAATATTTACAGAAAGAAGCAAGTTATTTTGAAAAGTGTAAGTTGTTTGTATTTAAAGATCTGAATTCAAATACTGCTACTATTTATGTGATCAAGGTTTATATGTAAAATAGGTGCAATAACATTGTCCAGATCACAGCTTTATTATGAGGTTTAATAAGATAATAAATACGTAAAGTGCATTGCACAGCATCTGGTATGTAAAAAATGCTCAATAAATATATCTTCCTCCTTCTTTATTACCATTATTTATTAAAAACTTTTAGGAGAAACATGCATTTCAACTGGATTAAGGCAATTGGCAACCTACATAGGATGCTTTATTTGATAACTAGTATCTTATGCCAGTATAATTTATGTAAGCAATCTCACTCCTCTCCATAGCCAGGAAGAAGAGAGCATGATAAGGAAAGAATAGAGGACAAAAAGTTCTTTGATGGAGAGGAGGAGAAAGAAGTAGGAAAAATAGTTTTTGAGGTGCTATTGGAAGGCAGTATCTGAACACCAAGCTCCTGGAAGAGACAGAGACAGATTCTATTTTACACGTTGTTGAGAGTTTGTCCAGGGAATCTATGGGGTATTCTTTTTTCCTAGGACAGTGATCTTACAATGAAATTGTCCTTCACAGACAATCACTTTACTGTGATTCCAATTATTTAAAGACTTCCTCTTAAGTCTCCATGCTGTCCAAATATCTCCTACTTGAGTGGGAAGTGGAGTGGAGCACATCAACAGGCACTATTTCCTCACTTGGAGAGTTAGAGACTACTTTCATTTGCTTCACCATCCTAAAGCTTTTGCTTCAGTGTCCAGAACTGAAATAAAGCTGGTGTTTTGGTAGCAGTGACAGAAACAATTTAGCAGATTCAACAAAAGCAGTTCATTAAAACTTAAAAAAAGAAACTCAAACCACTCATCTATCTACCCCTAAAAAGAAACCCCCAAAAACAACAAAGTCAACAACATCAAGAAGAATAAACCATACTCTAATTCCCATAGTATACAACTACAGGAACCCAAAGGAACAAAAGGAGAATTCAGAAGGAACATATGAACCCTAAGATTAAACAATAACCCTGGCATAACTGGTTGATGCACCAGTTGAAATCCACACATCTTTTATCTTATCGAAAAAAAAAAAAAGTCCTCCAAATTTTATATCCACTCTCTGGACAGAGTGTGCTGTTAATTTCTTGGACCCAGCCTGTCAATATCAGGGACATGTGCTCATTGAGATCAATAGAGTGTGTCTTAGCCTCACTTCTTACAACAAGCACTCATATGTTCAACACTCATATAAACAGCACCTCTATCCCCTAATTTCGACGTGTTCTTGATTCTCAGAAACCTTAAGCTCTATTTCACTTTGTAGCAGTGGGGAAATGAAACTCAATTGCATCAGTTATGCATGAACCATAGAAACTATCCACTGTGAGCTGTCCAGAGACACAGAGAGGCTTTTGACAGGAACTTTTATGATTTGAGACATACTGGCAGAGTAGCTATCAGTTCACAGGGTGTCTGAGCTTTGGTGCCCTTGCCCAAAATTGGGAAACAGAAAGAAAAGCCAATCTATTGGCTTTTTTCCTCTCTACGTTCTTCAAAAACAGGCAAAGTCCATATAAAATTGGATGTGACATGATGAAAGAGCAAAATAACTGTATGCTTATGGTGTGTATGTACCTGATAAATACTGATCTCTCCTTGAGGAGTAGGTGCAAGGCTAAGCATGTAACATATCTTATCTATCTTGTTCCTCCCACTAACTTTATGTGGTTAAAGATTGAGGAAACTAATGCTCAAAGAGGTTAAGTGACTTGTCCACGAACACATGGTTGCTAAGTGAAAGAGTTAGGATGTGAAACTTGGCAAGCTGGCTGAAGAGCCTACACTCATGACCACTTCCATGTAATATATATCCTTATTCATCCAATCTACACATTGTGCTTGAAATGCACATGGATTCATGGTCCCCACACATAAAGTCACTGGATTCCCACAGATCCATAACCCACAAAAAAGAAAATCATTGATCTATTCCAACCTCTTGTTCTACATTTCTTTTTCTTGATTTTAGGAGATGCCTTCTCAATACACAGCCATACAATGCTATTGGCACTGTTGGCATATTAGTTATGTATAGTTCATAGATGTGCTGAAAAAAGAGAGAGAAGAGAGAGAGATTCTTGCCTTTTTACTCTAGATTCTTAGGGCCAGAAGGACATCAGCTCCTTCTGCCACCTTCAATAAGGGTCTGCTCAGAAAGAGTGGGTGCTGGCTGCCTGGTGAATTTTCACAATAAAGTTAGCGGCTTTAATACTTTTATAATTTGTTGTCTTGACCTGAATGGTTACCTGCTTTGAGTGGATCCAAAAGAAATAAATGGAGGCTCCCAGGACTCCCAAAGTAGACGCCATTCAGAAGGAGATGGAGACAGGGGTTATGCAAGCTACACCTTGGGTGTGGACAGAGATTCTTCTCCCAAGAAAAGAAAAATGAGATTTTAAGAAATAATCCCAAGGATGATTTTCTTTCCTCTCCATTTTTAGAGACCAACTTCTTTCTAATATGGAAGGCAGAATCGGTAGAATTTTTCATAGAAATAAGAATTTGAATGGACAGTGACTGCAAAAATATTTCCACACATGATTTTAATAACAAAATATGCTATGGCTCAAATTCAAAGGTGGCTATACTATTTGGATATTACAAATTGATATAGCCAGGGCTAAGGTCCTACAGACTGTTTTCAGGCCAGTCCTACCAGATAGCCAGTTAAAGGTTGTCAGTGGAAGCCCAGAGGTCAAAGGGCCTGAGTCAGGTACATGGCCATATTCTGAGTGCACATAAAAGTATGATAAACTGGGAAAAGATTTCCTAACCAGTGTTACAATTCTTGGCTATCACCTAACATTATAAAATATAGAGAAAGTCCTTCAATAGGTGTCCTAAAATTTCTCAGCTGGCTGGACCACTGACTGAGCCTAATTCACACTCTTTTATAGTGTGCATTGTGGGCATCTGTAATATCAAGCTGCTTGTCTTTGAGATGTGTAACTTACCATTCACTTTCCAGATGAGGCATCTTTGTGGCATCTTGTAGTTAGGGAGCAGTCTGAACCATAAGATGCACCTACACAAATTGACCACTACCTTTGCCTTATAAACACTATGTTCCAGTCAAGAGACCCCAAAGGCCTCAAACTTGCCTTCCTGCTTTCCAACAAATACAGATGTTAAGTGAGATGATCTTTCCCTCAGAATGCGGAGAAGAACAGGATTTTAACCCTACTGAGGAAGATTCCCAGGGGGAATGGTGGTGTAAAAAAAAAAATTTTTAGAATGCCAGACTATTGTATAAAAATTAAAAATTTAAAAGAATAAAAATAAATTATCCATGCATATTTTACTGAGATTAAGTGTAAGACTGATTAAGAGTCCAGGCTCTGAACAGGCAGTGGAATTTGACTCTCACTTCAGACCACTTATTGTCTGTGTGGCTCTTGGCATGTTACTCAGTCTCTGTGCCTCAGCCTCCTCTCCAATAAAAAAGAGAGAGTAATAGTACCTGTTGTTGTATTACATGAGTTAATAAAGTGAAAGGTTTGTGACAGAGGCTGGAAGATAGTAAATGCTGTA